GACATGACCCAGTCTGCATAACCTTTGATTCAATCTTTTAACATTATGCACGTTCAGTTCGTGCATACACTCGAGGATGAAAGTATCACTTGAGGTTGCTAATCTGTCACCAATGCTTTTGAAATGAAAAGCACAGCGTCAGCACTCCTGTTTCTGGCCGGTAACCATTTGTTGACCAGTGAGGCTTAAATCCGACATAATTAGTTAATCTCGTAGTTTTCAAACATTCCACCAACATATTCCAGCGCGAGGACCTATTTCTAGTGCTTCCCAGTGTGCGCACAGGGTTTCCATTTCCTACGGGAGTCGTATCAGTTTGACCAAAAAACTGGGGTGTTTACCCTGGATGCAGATAGACCCAGAGATGAAATAAACATTTACAGATAAACATAATATATAGTAAATTTTCTTAAATATTTCAAGTGGTAACCATGACGAATATGTGAAACTGTTCAAAATATCTTTCATTATAACTGCCGAAATAAATAAAAAATTATAGTAGCTGACTATATTGCTCTTTGAATGATTTCTCCATCTTCGTTTTTGTGCCTAATTATGTATTTCTGTTACCTACATTTGAAAACATACGACCTTAACACCGGGATTTACAAAACCTTGTCACTTCAGTCAATGTTTGTGTATTTAAGCTCGGAAGGGGACGTTTTGTCGAATATCCACGATAACAACAAACAAAATGCACAAATAATGATATCCTCATCTATTGTTCGGTCTTCACAACGGTTATGGCTTGAAATTTTCATGACAGCTTAGATAATTTTGACAATGCCAGAATGGGTAACATTTGTATGCGAAAACTCCAATGATTGGTCCTTTTCTCACCATCCTTCCTATTTCTTCATTAATTCAAGCAGTTTTCACGTACACCATACGTTTATTACTTAGGAGGTCAGGTCGAAACTCAGTGTTTGAAAGATTAAACTTCCTGTCATTCACTAAGATAATCAATATCAAGGCAATCTAAGGGCTAATATCTTTATAAAATTTTATAAGATAATATAAGATAATGCACTAGTTTATTTCGTAAATCCAATTTGGAGACACTAAGAGCCGGACGTTCGGAATAACATTTCGAAAATAATTCCTCGTCGAAAAAGCAATTCTCTTGAAAACATTTACCCTCTTCAATACATACCTTCAGAAGCTTCCTCGCCGTGGCCAGCACAAAAAGACTGCCAGTTAAGTGTTTGTCTGGTGCCTGTCCCCTTTTGATTTATGGTCTCTCTATGACAGTTGGCATCTGATAAAACTGGAATTTCAATCTCCGTCAATTCATCACTGGGGATATCCGAACCATTTGCATCGGTTGGTCGGTGGACAGTAGTTTTGAGTGCTTATTGTTCTTTACCGTTTCTGTTATTTACTAAAGTTTTTACACACCTTTTTTGTTTTAGAGTGGGTAGGAGATGAAGGTAAGAGTTCTAAACGGAGGGAGAAGTGAAGGAACTGATGTGTCGGGAGGCATATCAATTGCACCCGCTCGGTCAACTCTACTGGGTGGCTTAGTTTCAACAAGGCAATGTCAGAGTCGAAGTTGTATCGGTTGAAGCCACTATGAAGGATGACCGTAGAAACCTGGAGAGATTCCATATAAATTATTATGTGACACTGGACTATATCGGTGAAAAAGTAGAGGAAAGTAAGATGACCTTCCTCTTTTCTACAAATTCGTCGTCCAAGGAGTCATTACGATAATGTTTTCCTAAATAAACGAGGAAATCTTCTTTGGGCCGAGGTCGTTCAGTACCATCCAAGGCGAGGCAACGAGCGGCTGTCAAAACCCAGTCTTCTCGTATGAGTGCCCCTCCACAAATGAGGAGCTCACCTTTGACGTCATAAATGGCCGCTTGCCAAGGCCACTTTCCAATTCCTGAAGATTTTCCACCTGCTGACAAACCCCGTGGCACTCTTCTCCCACAACCTACCTCCAGAGTAAAGCTGCTTCATAGTGACATTACAATATGTGATGGAACTCTTTCCATGAAGTAGCATTGAAATGGAAACTCACCAGGCTCACAGAATTGATTTCTTCCACTCCATTGTCAGTTCATTTTGCAAATCCGACGCCGTGATTCCTTGAGAATATAATACTGGTTGCACTGGTATTCTACAACGGTTCCAGTTTCATACCTACCGTGTTTAATGCATTCTGTGTTGTTTTTGCCAACATCTTCAGGTAGAGTGGCATCAACTATCCTGGAACAGGTAATCAATAGTCTTGCATAATTTCCTCATAATAGGAGAACATCACTTAATATTATTATATACAGTATGGTGTTTTACAGACTTACCTCTTGCCGATACTTGGGCAGGATTTTATTATAAAATGTCCATGTTCTATGTCTGCAAGTCGCCTACATCTGGTTTCATTGCCGTCTGGAAGAGACACGTGTCACAAGTTCCCTGGTACATAATGCTCTTCCAGATTTCTCATTGAAAATCAAGAGTAAATTATGAAAGTGTTATTTATGTGTGGTTTGTCTCACTACTGACTGGAAGAGACACGTGAAGCCAGTTCTCTGGTATATGTCCAACGAGAAAGGAAGAAGTGTCTTGTTGACGAGGTCGGCGTGTAAGTAAAGTTTTGAGACCGTGAAGACTAGAGCAACCAATTCAAAAACATTTTAGTGCTAAGGGCAGATATTGCTAAGGATAATGGGTTCCTAGCAATTATTACCTTCCATTGTACCAGTTCCTTAAAAGAGAAAACTGAGTACCTCCTGTTTCCAATTCCCATGTGGCTCAACTTCCCTTATGGAGACACGTACATCATTCGGTGTCTATTACGTTTAATGCTTTTGCTTTAATATAATTCAATGCAGAATTCTTGCCTCCCTGCTGAAAAATCGCATGAGACATTCATGAGATTTTAAAGCGGAGATTTAATGTGGATTCTCAAGTTTCACATGAGAACTTCGTGGGATCTCGATGAGATGCATGTGAGACCTTTCAGGCCTTATAGGATCTTCATAATCCCCATGACGATGTATCGAAGTGCTATAACATATATAATCTTACCATTCTTGTTAGAAACTTGGCGGAACTTACTGAATATAAAGTTATGACATCTCATGAGAAATTATGAATTCATTGTGAGTTCATTTTTCAGCTGGGCAAGTAACATGCTTTCACCGATAAGGTGTCTTCTTCGCAAGAAGTCAGTCAAAAACTCCACTATGGAGTACTTTGTGCCACATTAATCCTTTGCCTCTCTCCAGTGCGACCAAAACGCCACATAGAGCTACTTTTGATATTCTGGCACAATTTTAGAATTAATGAGTAAAAAGATAAGTGGCAGTTGAGAGTACTATTCGCCGTTCGCACCTGCGGGCTTGTCACCGGTTTCCTCATGGTGTGGTGCATCGAACATCTCCCGTTCTACAACGTGTGCGGTGCTCTCACCCAATCAGTCAGTATCTGAAGCTAGCCCACCACCAAATATTGAACGGTACTCATTTCGGATTCACAATGCCTTTGCATCCATATCTATACATCAAAAGCCAACTGAGACGATCAGAAACTTGACCCGGCGATATTTGGCAATTTTATCGGTCTAACGGTCTTATATTTGGAATAAATTAACATTTCCATGCTGCAGTTGAAAATTGTATGAGAACTTATATTGTCACTTCTGACTGACATAAATTTAATCTATAGGACTAAAGATATTCTACCGATAACCAGATTTATAGTTGTACTATCGAGTTTGTTTGCCCAAAAGGCAAACAAAGTCTCTAAGGTCGCGCCTTTGACGCTCCTTTGTATGGTGTGGTGATTCATTCATTATTTTATTTTAAAGAAAAAAAGGTATTAAAAGAATTACCCCATCGAAATGCGTATCGAGAGAGAACTAAGCAATATTTTCATAGAAGTAATTACTCCAATTGTTTCTTTTGTGCTTCACTTCAACTCTCCTCATAATCTCCCATGAGGGGTCACATTTTAAAAGAAAGTTCTGGACTCAGCAATTGAACAGGTGCGTCAGAGCCAAGTTTCAACTTTTCAGTTTTCTGTTTCCTGGAATTAGAAAGGATTCTGATGAATATGCCTTCTGCAATAAATGTGCTCTCAGGGGTTTTACCTAAAAAATTATTTATTTCCTGAAATCAGTACTTGGAGAATCATGCACATTCCAAGTTTCAGCCTTATTCCTTTTCTCTATTTTGTTGGTACAAATATCTTTGGAAAAGGCGACACAGCCGAAAGTTGTGCCCTAAGGGTATGCATTTAAAAAATTTGAATATATTCCAAACTCACCATCACCTCAGGTATTGGTGTGTCAAGTTTCACCTTTCCATTTCTACCGAATTCGGTAGGACGGAAAAAATGCATTTGAAAAGTCACTAAACAAAGACATGCCCTCAAGGCATGTACCTGAATCTTGACATTTTTTCTGAACCCAGAGTCTCAGAAGGCACGTAAATGTCAACTTTCACCATTACCATGATCATCTGTTTGACTCAAGTAAAAAAAATTATTCTAAAATATCTTGCATTGAAATGTGTGCCACCAGAGCATTTATCTTCAAAGTCTGAATTTTTCAGAACTCAGCCTCCTTTGGACTATATCGGTGAAAAAGTAGAGGAAAGTAAGGTCACCTTCCTCTTTTCTACAAATTCGTCGTCCAAGGAGTCATTACGATAATGTTTTCCTAAATAAACGAGGAAATCTTCTTTGGGCCGAGGACGTGCAGTACCATCCAAGGCGAGGCAACGAGCGGCTGTCAAAACCCAGTCTTCTCGTATGAGTGCCCCTCCACAAATGAGGAGCTCACCCTTGACGTCATAAATGGCCGCTTGCCAAGGCCACTTTCCAATTACTGAAGGTTTTCCACCTGCTGACGAACCCAGAGGCACTCTTCTCCCACAACCTACCTCCAGAGTAAAGCTGCTTCATAGTGACATTACAATATGTGATGGATCTTCTTTCCATGAAATAGCATTGAAATGGAAACTCACCCGGCTCACAGAATTGATTTCTTCCACTCCATTGTCCGTTCGTTTTGCAAATCCGACGCCGTGATTCCTTCAGAATGTAATACTGGTTGCACTCGTATTCAACAACGGTTCCAGTCTCATACCTGTCGTGTTTAATGCATTCTGTGTTGTTTTTGCCAACCTCTTCAGGTAGAGTGGCATCAACTATCCTGGAACAGGTAATCAATAGTCTTGCATAATTTCCTCATAATAGGAGACCATCACTTAATATTATTATATACAGTATAGTGTTTTACAGCCTTACCTCATGCCGATACTTGGGCAGGATTTTATTATAAAATGTCCATGTTCTATGTCTGCCAGTCGCCTGCATCTAGTCTCATTGTCGACTGGAAGAGATTCGTGCCACATGTTCCCTGGCACATAATCCCCTTCCAGATTTCTCACTGAAAATCAAGAGTAAATTATGAAAGTGTTATTTATGTGTGGTTTGTCTCACTACTGACTGGAAGAGACACGTGAAGCCAGTTCTCTGGTATATGTCAAACGAGAAAGGAAGAAGTGTCTTGTTCACGAGGTCGGCGTGTAAGTAAAGTTCTGAGACCGTGAAGACTAGAGCAACCAATTCAAAAACATTTTAGTGCTAAGGGCAGATATTGCTAAGGATAATGGGTTCCTAGCAATTATTACCTTCCATTGTACCAGTTCCTTAAAAGAGAAAACTGAGTACCTCCTGTTTCCAATTCCCATGTGGCTCAACTTCCCTTGTGGAGACACGTACATCATTCGGTGTCTATTACGTTTAATGCTTTTGCTTCAATATAATTCAAAGCAGAATTCTTGCCTCCCTGCTGAAAAAATCGCATGAGACATTCATCTATGAATGTCGATTATAGAGTTGATGTGTGCAGAGTCACTAAAGGTGCACATATTGAGCATCTGTAAACACTAAAAAAAACGTTCACTATTTGTTGATATATCTGTGCAATCTTGTAAGTATATGTCAAATAATAAACCTGTAGTAATTTTCTGAAACCGCTGCAATCATTTTGACTACCCCTGTACTGTATTCCAAACTCACCATCACCTCAGGTATTGGTGTGTCAAGTTTCACCTTTCCATTTCTACCGAATTCGGTAGGACGGAAAAAATGCATTTGAAAAGTCACTAAACAAAAACATGCCCTCAAGGCATGAACCTGAATCTTGACATTTTTTCTGAACCCAGAGTCTCAGAAGGCACGTAAATGTCAAGAAAGTGGTAATGGTACTAGTAGACAAACTGAGTTCATTTTTTTTAATAAGATTTTATAGAACGTAACTTTACACACGGTGGTCTCGTAAATAGAAGTTTCAGACTTAAAAAGTCTTGAGTCGGAGGAAATAGATACCTATGTATTACATTTCTCCTTTCTATCTCAACCCAATTCGGTCAGAGAAAATTACTTTAAAAGGTTAACCCATCCAATAACACGCCCCCAGGGCTCGCATCTTAAAATTGATATTTTTCCTTAACTGAGTGTCTCAGTAGGCACTACCATGCCAAGTTTCAGCTTTCCATGTCTCCATTTGACTGAAGCAAACATATATATTTTAATACATCTCCCCCTGAAATTGGTACCTTAGAAGTTTCATTTTTTCTGACCTCTATATTCTAAAAGGAAAATGTATTCCTAGTTTCATCTTTCTACCTTATCTAATACATGGTTAGAATTAGCGTCAGTCAATCGTTCACTCAGTCACGATCGTCTATATATATTAGAAGTATCATACCTGCTGGTCTAGGTGTTGTCATCATTGTTGTCTTCATTGTTGTCATCATTGGCTGGCAGCATATCTCCCCATGTCGACAATTGTCCACTTTCGAGAAAATTTCTGTTCCTGGCCGGCAGAGAGAATATAAATGGGCACTTACACACATGTATGGACATGTAGCGGGACAACTTTTCATTGCATCCAAGTCCAATTCTTGAAATTTCGTTCCATTGTTACATCTCACTCTCACTCTGTCGAGGAAATTCGGATTAACTACAAGCCAAGCAGCTACACAATCGCAATAGATGGGATTGCCTGGAAAAAAAAGAAATGGCTTAGCACCTTACTTGCTCGTTTTCTACTTACCTGTACCTCCTATCATGTTCTTCTACTCCGGCACGTTGAGTGAGGTTGACTTTATTAAAAGTAATACCTCCTACTCTTAAGGTACAGGCTCGCTTAAAACCTCCATGATGGGACGAAAGCTCTTCTCAGGAAGTGCAGTAATATTGTTGGAACTTAGATCAACGGTTGTGTTCGGTGTCAGTCCTGCAATGATCATTAGGGAACTTCAAAAACCAATTGCTTTATTAATTAAAACCAAGGCTTTGAATAACAGTTAGTTTGGCGCAAAAATCGCCAGACACGTCTAATTTCAATACGTTGAATTCTCATTTAGGGGAAATAATTATTGCCATCCAAGGAAAATTAGCCCTCTCCTGGAAAACCACACTAAAATATCCAGTCGATTATTCATTGAATCCATTCACTTGAGTAGGTTTTCTTTTTAAAAAAAAAACTGCCTGAGTGAATGATTTTCTTCAATGTTCATATTCCCTTCTTTTAATATCTAAGTGATGGATGAGGAAAATATATCGGATATCTCACTTCATCAACCGCATAAGCATTAACCTAAATTTCATCAAAATCGAAGTCATATTTTGTAGTGCATTAATTCGACTCATGAGGTGAAGTCATGATTGGAACTAGAAACCTTGAATCCCAAACTTTCTCACAGTTCACACGCCTTTTTTTCTGCAGAAAAAAAAACACTAAGTGTGAGCAAGAAGTGCAACAATGATGACATCAAACATCATTGGATGACAGAAAGCTAGCGCATTTCTAGGATACCGGTCATTATGTTCCCTTTGGAATAGGAATATCTCGCGTACGACTTATGCATAGGCTTACTCGATCAAAAATTAGAGTACAAGTATCAGTAAATCGAGAATATGAACATGTTGCTATAGATTGGCATCCTTAAGAGAAGTGACGTTCCATGGGTTGATCGGAAGGAAGAAAACAGCTGAGGAGGTAGGTATGTTGGGGAGACAGTATTTAACACTTTACTGCGGCATGATTCCCTGGTGACTGATAGAGCCAGAGACATGAATATGCTGCCTATAACTATACTGGATAGTGATAGGAGAGAACCCAGGGAACTTTTGGCGTCATGTTTTGGGGTAAGAGCCTGTTCCCGCCCATATGGTGCATTCAAACTTCCCACTCGAACATCCCCCGTCCATACTCATACATTCACCTAGGTTCATAGAAATTTCATGCTTCTATCCCGAACTTTGACTTCACCTTCAACGGGGAAGTACTCCTTATGTCTAGAAGTACGAAATTGGAGACCATCTTTTTGCAATTGAACTTTCTAGCCTTGGGCGACAACATCAAGACCTATTCTGATGCGTAGCTGGACTCGTCTCGCACCGCTACTAGAATCCCACCACACAAAGGGTGACAGATTGGATGGGTGTCAAACATTAAGTGCTGAAAGGATGAATGAAATATTCTGAATAATCGAAGCACAAAACTAAGAAAAAAACATACGGCACTGATTTCAATTAATTACAGACTCGTCTCACCCTTTGAGAAGCTCATTTGCAGAGTCTGAAGCACTGATCTAGTACCGGAAGTAGCAATAAAGAACTATTGGGTTGGAAAGGAAGTCTTGCAATACTTTCTAAAACTATTAATAAAAATGTTTAAAGTATTGATGATTTGTATTTATATATGATGGAATGTTCTCGAAGCTTTTGCCCTCGGGGTATATAAGGAGGCTTCTGCCATTAGTTGGCAGCGATGGCTCCGATCGAACGAGCAACTCTTCGCCCCATCGTCTACGACGAGTTCCTCCAAGGACACTCTGCGAGAGCCGCCGCGGACAACATCTGCGCTGCATTCGAGGGCAACGTCGTCCACTATTCCAAGGTGTCTCGTTGGATGAAACGCTTCGAAACTGGCGACACGACCTTCGGAGATCGACCAAGCTCAGGACGTCCATCTACAGTCGATGACGAAGCCCTGCGTAACGCCCTCGACGCGAAGCCGAACGCCACCACTCGCGAATCGGCGACTACACTTGGAGTCACCCATATGGCCATCGGCAACCATCTGAACGTCCTCGGCTATAGGAAGGTTTACTCGACGTGGGTCCCTCATCGGCTCGGCGACTCTGACAAAACAAGCCATGTCGGTGTCTGCGAATCACTGCTCCTTCGTCCGCACAGAAAGGACCTTCTGAAGGAAATTGTTACTGGAGATGAGAGCTGGGTCCTCGACGGCAACCATACTCGCAAGAGTCAGTGGCTTCCACGAGGAGAATTGCCGCCACATGAACCGAAACCAGGGATCCACGAGAAGAAGGTTCTTCTCTGCTGTTGGTGGGATTCAGAAGGAGTGTTGTACTATGAGCTCCTGCCAGCCGGTACCACCGTGACTGCCGTCGTCTACGCTGCTCGACTTCAGAAGTTGGCTGGCGTCATTCAAAAAGAGCGTCCCAAACGCGACGAAGTTCTCCTTCTGCATGACAACGCTCGTCCACATGTTGCGAAGATGACTCGCCAGACGATTTCGGAACTGGGCTGGGAAGTTTTACCCCATCCAGCGTATTCTCCGGACTTGGCCCCTTCCGACTATCACTTGTTCCAGGCCCTCAAGAATCACCTGCGAGACAAGGCCTTCCACGATCAAGTACAGCTCGAGAATGATGTCGGCCGTTTCTTCGCTTCGCAATCGCCAGAGTTCTGGGCAAAGGGCATCGAGCAGTTACCCGTGCACTGGGAACATGTCATAGATAACAACGGTCATTACATTTTAGACTGAAATTGCATTTCAATAAAGTTCTAAAATTTTGAAAAATTTGCGCAGTGTTGCAAGACTTTCTTTCCAACCCAATACTAAGAGGTACTCCATATGTAACGCACTCCATATGTAATATGTAACGCACCAACAAAGAAAAAAATGATAGATTATGGAATTTACTTAATGAGGTATGAAAGAACTCATCTTCCTGATTCATTGTGTTTCTTTTACTCTCTCAAATCATAGATAAAAAAGTTCATAAGCAAAAACATTGAAAACATCTGAACATGCTTTTGAAACGGATACAAATATTGAACTTAAGTTGACAACTTTTTATTCATCCAGAAATGATCTAGTACCAGAATCATCATTATTGATATCATAATTCTCAGCAACAAAATAGCCTCAATTACTGTGAAGTACGCCTTTGCAATGCATGAATGTTCTTTTATTTTTCTTATTTCATCCTATCTCTTTTCTTTCGCTTTGAAAGAATTATACAAGGTACCATTCTCTCTGGGGCAGTCGGTTTCATTAGCAATTAATGAAGAAATTAGTACTGAAGAAGCTCTTTTTCTTGATTTCTTGAAACTCATCGAAACACTGTCACATGTTCAATTCTTCCCATAGACCAAAAAGAACGTGGTCTACCTGGCTGTTGTGCATCTTCAACAGTGCCGTATTCCCTAAATCTGAACATACATCATCTGATGAAATGCTCTGATGGAGCAACTTTAGCATGAACTTTTTTTTCGATAAGCTCTTTGAATAGCAATTATGGAGTAACCATTTTGAAAATAGAATCCTACAATAGTGGAGCGTTGCTAAAGTGTCCACTTTTCCTTTTTTTAATTCTGGGGACAAACTATTATCTGAAATAAAATATTAAATGAAAGCAGTAATAGTACCCACGTAAAAAAAAAAATAAAACCACTTTGCGACTTTTGGCCCACCCTGGATATTAATTTTTTACATCCTATATATCATTTTTCCAATTTTTACATATTTTTTCATATCAGTTTTCAGTCTTGGTCGAGAGTTCGTAGCGTGAGGACGCGTTAGAAGTTACTCTCGAGGTTCTGACAGCTCAGTCGCGAGTTAGTCGATATTTGCCTACTTTGTAGCAGTATTTAGAAGTTTCTGATAGCTACCTCCAACTTCACACTAGATCAATATCAAACAGCTTAATTATTCCAATTATTAGCGAATTACCCATAGTATATCATTTTCCCTGGTGCTGGGATTGAACACGTTAAGGATAAAGTCAGGTCGGTGGTGTGCTCCGAGCCAGCCGAGTAAGTGTTGGTGGTCCTTCACGTAGGGACCAACGATAATCCCAAGTCTGGCTCTGAACTCATCATGGGCAAGCTGAGGAAGGCGATTAGGGAGTGTGGGGAGGCAAGGTCGGAGGTGCGGGTGACGGTATGCGCGATCCCGAGCTGGCTGGACATGGGAGGAATTACGTGGTCCAGGTCGGAATGCATTGCAGGCATAGACTGGAAAATCAAAGCACTAATCAGGGATGAAAAGCGGATATGGGATACGTACAAGCGGACGGGAGATAGTAGGAATATAAGGAATATGGGACCATCATGCGGACGTTGAAGCAGGAAATTATATCTTAGATTAAAGAAATATCGGTTCCACTAAGAATTATATTTGAAAGCAGCTTTGCGTGAGGAGAAGTACCTAAGGATTGGAGGCTAGCGAACGTCGTACCGATCTTTAAGAAAGGCGAAAAGACTTATCCAGGAAATTACAGACCAGTAAGTCTCACGAGTATCCAAGGGAAGATCATGGAGAGCATCCTAAATGATCACCTCTTGGATTTCTAGTAGGAAACGCGCTCATTCGGGACTCGCAACACGGCTTTAGAAGGCGTCGTAATTGGTCTCACTAATTTGCTCGAATTCCAAAATTTTGCGACGGAAGAGAGGGTTGAGAGAAACCCGGTGGACATAGTCTATTTATATTTCGCGAAAGCTTTCGATACCGTGCATCACAAGAGGTTAGCTTCATGAGAATTAGGCCTACCGTATATTAAGGAGCGCTCGAGCTTGACACGTGATAACGAAATGAGCGTAATCGCCTTTTGCTATCACTAAAGTACCAAGAACCTTGAAACTACACTTTCCATATATTTAATTTATCATACCATATATTCTATGATATACATATAATTCAATAACTTAAGGTTAATGAACTGACAAATGAGAGGATGCCTCCAATGGAAATGAGCCATGCATTATTGGACTCAGTAGCGTAATATGGGATGCAAAGTCACAAGAATCAAAAGAAATTACCATCGCTAAAATGAAAATGTAATGACAATTGTTTAGGATTCTAGGCCTGAAGGGATGAAATTAAGCGAGCAACATTAGGGAGACGAGTCAAAAATAAAGAAAACAACGCACAATGCCGCGTTTGTCATACGAAGCGGGGCAGTTTTGAAAAAAAGGTACAAAAATGGAAGGCAACGAACTAAGCGAAGTTTATCTTAAAGTCTCATCAAGATGTATTCATGACTTAGGGATTTCTCTTAATAACTTCTCAATAAATATGACACCAATTTCTTTCAGATTCAATGAATAATGAATTCGTGAGGAATGGAAAATCGAAGTGCTTTCTAGTTTTTGTTCAAAGAAGGCAACAGCAACAAACAAGTTCATCATTACATAGAAATCGCATGAAGGGGCATGAATCCGTGAAAGATGACACAACATTTGGAAGGCCCAACATCGCAATAAATCATGGAACAATTATTACAGTTGGGGCGACGGTGATGTGCTATCAACGAATTATTGTGGAGAAAATTCGAGAATGAAGTAAGAATTAATAACGTTGTCTTGACAATGTAGAAAGAGAACGGCATATCCAAGGTGCATGCGCGATGGACCCTTACAAGCGAATCAAGAATCGGGTAGAGCTTGATAGCATCACTTGGCTCGGATTATGATAAATTATGATTACAATAATAAGATTTAATGGTTATTGCTCAAATAAGACGGATTTTGAACCAACTCATTAATCGCGAATCATCATACCAAACCAAATGATGCACAGTATGTACTCACCAAACTTTAGGGCAGGGGCAGAGGTTAGAGAATTCAAGGAGAGATCCAGTTTCTTCAAGTTCGGAGTCTCCAATCCGTCTCCCTCCACTCGAGTAATCTTATTAGATCCAAGATTCAGTATCTCCAGGCTGTGTAACTTCAGGGCTGGGACAGTGGTTAGAGAATTCCAGGAGAGATCAAGTTTCTTCAAGTTCGGAGTCTCCCATCCGCCTCCATCCATTCCAGTAATATTATTTTTCTGAAGATCCATTATCTCGAGGCTGCCAAATTTGAGGGCTGGGATAGAGGTCAGGGAATTCGAGGAGAGATCCAGTTTCTTCAAGTTCGGCGTCTCCAACTCGTCTCCCTCCACTCGAGTAATCATATTAAACCCAAGATGCAGTATCTCAAGGCTGCCAATTTTGAGGGCTGGGACAGAGGTTAGAGAATTCGAGGAGAGGTCAAGTTCCTCTAAGTTCGGAGTCTCCAATTTGTCTCCCTCTACACGAGTAATCACATTATTCTGAAGATCCACTATCTCGAGTCTGTCAAATTTGAGGGCTGGGATAGAGGTCAGGGAATTCGAGGAGAGGTCAAGTTCCTTTAAGTTGGGCGTCTCCAATTCGTCTCCCTCCACTCGATTAATCATATTAAACCCAAGATGCAGTATCTCAAGGCTGCCAATTTTGAGGGCTGGGACAGTTGTTAGAGAATTCCAGGAGAGATCAAGTTTCTTCAAGTTTGGAGTCTCCCATCCGTATCCCTCCACTCGAGTAATGTTATTAAACATTAGATCCAGTATCTCGAGGCTGCCAAATTTGAGGGCTGGGATAGAGGTCAGGGAATTCGAGGAGAGATCCAGTTTCTTCAAGTTCGGAGTCTCCAATCCGTGTCCCTCCACTTGATTAATTTTATTAGATCGAAGATTCAGTGTCTCTAGGCTGTGTATCTTTAGCGCTGAGACAGTGGTTAGAGAATTCCAGGAGAGATCAAGTTTCTTCAAGTTCGGAGTCTCCCATCCGCCTCCCTCAATTCGAGTAATATTATTTTTCTGAAGATCCATTATCTCGAGGCTGCCAAATTTGAGGGCTGGGATAGAGGTCAGGGAATTCGAGGAGAGGTCAAGTTCCTTCAAGTTCGGTGTCTCCAATTCGTCTCCGTTCACTCGAGTAATCCTATTAAACCTTAGATCCAGTATCTCGAGGCTGCCAAATTTGAGGACTGGGATGGAGGTCAGGGAATTCGAGGAGAGGTCAAGTTCCTTCAAGTTCAGAGTCTCCCATCTGTCTCCCTCCACTCGAGTAATCTTATTATTCCGAAGATGCAGTATCAAGATGCTCTTACTCTTGAGGGTCGGGATTGAAGTTAATGAATTCCCAGATAGGTCGAGATATTTCAGAAGATTCAATTCATGAAGAATATGGAATGGGAAATCTTCTAAATTCCCAGATTGAATGGTGAGATTCACTAGACTGTTTTGAAATGGAAGGATTGCCATGGGGATGATTTTCTTAAGGGGAAATGCATTGCGCTGAGACTGGAGTGATGGTTTATGGTGCCAACTTATTTCCACATTTTGAAATGTAAGGCTTCCGAAGAGTTCTTCTGGGATGTACTCATCCATGAATTTCGGTTCGTTGCCTATTCGGAATTCCCTATTATGAGAAAGAAATGAATGAAACGCATCTTAGGGTGACCTCAATGGAGTTTCATTCACTAATTGAATAATACAAATAGGCAAACTGTGCTGGACTTGCTTGAATTTGAACCAACCTTTTTTGCAATGTGTAGAAACTCGGGATATACAGATTCTTATGAATGAGGATTGGATTTAATTTTTTAAATGGTTTCATCAAGAGCGGAATATAAATTCGAGTGGGAGCTGACGTGGACAGAGATGTACTGCTTTTTTTCGCTTTTCTCCTGTAATTGATCTCTTTCTTAACTTCGAAAATACTCAAAGTGAAAATGTTTTTTTTGGAAATTCTATTTTTAAAAATGTAATTTTGAATAAACTACGCGAATAAAGGCGTTACCATGATTACTTTTGAGAGACGCATTTTTGTATGAAATGTCAGGTTTCAATAATTAAGATTGATGTTGCGATACCTAATTTAATCCTTTCCTGCATGAACTTCTGAAGGAATTAAAAAATAGACCTTTTTTCATTCAACGTTTATTGAAGTACTCTGCCATAGTAGTTGCATGTATCACCGCTGGAAGGCAGCACTGAACAGATTATGTGCCCTCATGTTGACTGGCCTAAAAATATAATGGCATGTGGACTATGGCTAAAAAGGAATCGTCATGACCAGTAAGGTTTTAGTGCACTATAGTGGACACAATGCAGGAAAGGGTTAATGCACGTCTATGTGGAAGTACGGAGACATGAGGGGACGTTATTTTACTTTTGATTAAAGTCGTATTCCAATTATTTCTTGTGTGCATATCTTCAAATTTATATAAGCCCAATTTTTCAAAGGCAAAAATGGAAGCTGAAATACCTCTCTGCCGTATTTCGCGCCAAGGGGACATATGTCTAAAGTAGAATCAAATCTGTACTCAGCTATCTATCTACTTCTGCGTGAAGTTCAAATTTTTATTATTCTCTGTATCGTTGAATTAAAAACAAGTTCCGGAAAATGAGGCTATTGTAAGAAAATAGTGCCATGGAAATACATATATTCATAATCTCTTGAAAATCTCCCCACCATGCACGTGCTAAAGCCGACTAACATCAGAAAATTCATAACATTTCGATAAGTTACAGTAACAAAAAAAATAAACCCACCTTGCCATATAGATATTGTGGATGCTATTTCATATGAAATTCGAGACATTTTGATCTGGATCCCGAAATCGTAAAAACAAAGTCAAATTTCATTAAAATAATAAATAATGGATAGTCAGCTTTCATTTTCGACATGTGAGGATGACAACAATAAAAAAATACTCATTATTAAACTGAATAAAGGCTGGACTCTTAGTACTGCATTTTTGGTTATGTAATGTTGGCTCACACAAGAGTTATTGGAGTACTGAAACACTGAAAATTACTCAAATTGAAAAAGGCTTGATTGTCAGGTACCAGAAACCCTATTTTCGCTATGATACTTGGATTCTAGTATTTCAAATATTCCATATGAGCCATACACACATATCTAGCTGGTGTAGCATGAGAGTTATGAGGTTCGTCCGAGCGGTCACACGTGCCTGTAAACAAATGCTTCCGAAATTCATACCTCAATTATAAACTGAAATAAAATTAAAGTACGAGTATTTCGAAATTTGAATTTTCATGAAATTTCTGTCAACTCGGAATTGTTTCAACATTTTTTGAGATTGTTCAGCGTTATCATGTCTGTGGAATGACCCTAATGAAATCCGTAATATAATTAAAATTTAAGTTGGTGTGTTGGCTGCGCAATCGTCAATTCTAACCAATCAAATATATATAGACGATCGTGACTGAATGACTGGCTGCCTGACGGTAATTCTAACCTGTTCCAATGTACTGCGCAGGTTGTTTGAAAAGTAACTATTTTATTTCTTTTATAAAAAGCAAAAAAAGGATGTGAATGAGAAACGGTTTTCAGAATATTGTATTTTATGGCATTTCATGTGACATGCCTCACGCCTCCACATGTCTTGCTGCATTTTCAATAGATTTATGGAGTCGGATTCTAACGCTTTATGTTGTTCTCTGAAGGAGTCTCGTGGAACTTGCTGGAAAACGGCGTTTACTTGTTCCAATTCGTCCAAAGTTTGAGGGTTGTTCTTGTAAACCTCTTCTTTTCCCAATCCCCATTAAAAAAAAATCCCATGGTGTCAGGTCGGGGCTTCTTGCTGATCTTTCTATCAGACCTCGTCGAATAAGCTATCTGAAAGGGTATTTTTCGTCCAGTCATTGTCGGACAGGAGTCGCAAAGTGAGGGGGTGCCCCGTCTTGCATAAAGATTACGTTCTGTGCTTTCTCCCGCTCTGCGACAGCCGGTTACACATAATTTTCTAACATTTCAAGGTACCGAACACCATCCATTGTGTATCATAGGGTGTATGACCCCTAGAACTGATTACTACTGAAGCCACACCACACGGTAACTTTGGGAAGGCCTTGAGCTTTTCATCTGTTATTGCTGCGTCACAGTTGTCAGCCAATTAATGTGCATTATGTCTTTTGACAAAGCAACCGACATGGAAGACTGCCTCATCAGACGGCAAGATGTCCCGGAAGCAAATCGGACCAGTCTTCCAACCTCTCGGCATTATCTCGGCAAATTCAGTCGTCGGTCGCAATCTTCTGGGAACATTTGCTACACGTAATGTGGTTTTCGTGCACAGAATTACAGCTCACGTTTCAGTACAGAACGAACATTATGCGCAGTCATACCAGTCTCCTTGGTCGTATGTCGCAGCGACTTTTTTGGGCTGCATTCAATTGTCTGTCGAACTGTTTCAACAACATCTTGAGACCGGGATGTCGAAGGACGTCCACTTCGCACCACGTCTGCAACTGACCCCGTCGTCATGAGCTTCGTATGACAATTCCTGATTGTCTTCAGGTCTAGAGAGGCACGTCTTCCGTGGCCACCCATCCACCATCGTTGCACTCGCACAATCGAACCCCACTTCAAAGCGCGATGCCATCTTTCTGCATTCACTCACGGCTCTGCCATGCTTCTTCTCAACATCTGGCAAGTGCCAGGGTGTGCCTGTAGGTGGGAAGCAATCCGATATGCTACCATGTATCCAGTGCTGCCATGTTGCCATTACAGGTCACATGAAATGTCATAAAATAATGTATTATATTCTGAAAACAGTTTCTAATTCGCATCATTTTTCTACTTTTCATTAACGAAATGAAATAAGGGGGTACTTTTCAAACACCCTGTAGACATGGTAGTAGCATGAAACATGATACCTAAGTACCTATTGGGTGCTGAGTTCAGAAAATTTCAGACACTAAAGGTAAATACCCTGGGCACACAAATTTCGTGGGGAGATGTTTTCAAATCATGTATTTGCTTCAGTCGAATGGAGAAACATGAAAAGCTAAAACTTTGAAAAAAAAAAAAGACCATTGATGACTACTTACACACATATATCAGGAAACTTTTCATTTTTCCTATGCATCCTCTGGTGGCTAATTTTTTAAGGGTGACATTTTCAATAAAAAGATTCCAGTGGTTCAATGCTAAATCAGGCAGGGACATGGGCTTCGTGTCACGTCTTAGTCTTCTATTTTTTTTTAAATATGTTTGTTTAAATATGTTTAAATATATTCAAGTGATGAAAAACTGTAGATTACTTACCTATCAGCTATAGTTTCGAAAAAAATTTCACTATTGCAGGGCTCTAAAAAGGACGACTTGTGAAATTCCTGCTTTCCCTCACTTTCAATCTCCTAAAGTAACGTGCAAAAATTCATGAAAGTAATTTCTAATTTACTTGTCTTGTGCAAAAATTTGAGAAAAACATAAATTATGATTTTATAAATACGTAATTTTTTAATTTTCAAATCAATGAAACTGTTGAATTTTTTCGACAGTTGAATTTGTATCCCATCATGAATCATATATATTTTCCTGAACTGTTATACATACTGTACATTCGTCTTAACCCTTTCAAGACCATAAACATTGTGGGACAGCGACCTTAACTTTAATGACGTGTTTAGGGTGAAAATGACGTGTAGATTCCAAAAAACTTTGTTTGGAGGCTATATCTCCCATAGTTCTCGAGATATAGCGTGGGACAAATATGTCCCACAACAAAAAAAATACATTTTTTTCGAAAAATAATAAACAAATGAGTGTCGAAATGAGAAAATATGTTACAGTAAGGACATACGAAGGCAAACCCACAGACAATTTTTTTTTGGCTGCATCGGTTTTTCAAAACAAAAAAAAATCAAAATTCACATTTCCGGACCCGTTTGGAAAAGATAATTTTGCTTTGTCTGGTGACGACACAAATTCATATATTCACAAAACCTACCATAATTTTGAAAGTCCATGACATACTGATTCCTTATTCGCAAAAAGCATCGCCCTAGACTAATTCATTCAAATTTGGGAGGATTTTGAAAATATGGGACAAATAGGTCCCTTGGTCCTGAAAGGGTTAAGGTACTAGGGATACCAAAAAATCGAGCCCCCTGGATGGAAATTCTGTTCTGTAATTGTTGTAGAGGACTTCAAGGAAGGCCTCTGGAGTCCCTCACTGAGGTCTTCATGTGAACCGCATGGCCAGAAAGTAGGGTCAAAGGTCACGGCTGACCCACTCCTCTTTGAAAGCCGTTATCTCCTCAACCACTTAACCAAAATTGCTTAAACTTGCACCATTTTCTTCGTTTTAAATAACTCTTTAAGATGAAGGCAGGCCTGATTTTCTAAGTTTGTTGTTACGGGCGTCGTAACGTGAAAAACAATTTCCGCGAAACCTTTCAACCTCCATAACCTGCGCAAAAATCAATGAATCAGAAAAAGCATATGTGAGTTTATGCGTTTCCTCCTGCTCTATATTTGTGGGAAGTTTCATCAAATTATCTCTTTGCGTTACTCAGGAAACTACGAAAAACTGCTCGAAAAATTCCGTTTCCAGTTTCTGGCGCGTTTTTCTTGGGGACCATCGAGGATGCGAAAGGGACACCCGATAACGAAATTTTAGATNTAATGTTACCTTCACTCAAATTCTGTCCAGTAATTTATCCATCATTCTTTAAATATCAAATTACACTTAACCTTTATTGGTATTAGATCATTTCTGGATATCCCTAAATAAAATATCACTGCCACCTTGAATACAGTGTGCATCCATTTCAAAGCAAGTCCAGAAGTTTTCAATGCAAGTTGTTGCTTTGCTTATCAACTTCTTTAAGCACTTAGATATGAGAATGTCAAAAGAGACAATGGTCCCAGGAAGACCCATCCAGTTGTCCATTTATTAAAATTATCTAATTATTTTTGTTCTTTGCCGGTATGTTGTGCATAAGGTACCTCCTAGTAGTACCTTATTACTACTTTCGGTATCAGATCAGTGTTTTAGACTCCGAGAAGGTGCACCTCCAAGTGTGAGATGAGTCCGGCAATGTGTAATTGATAGAAATCGGTCAGGTTTCTCTTGGTCAGGTGTTTTGGCCACTAATAAGTACTTATTGGCCCGTTAAGTACTTCTTACTTTACACTTATCCAGTCCGCCACGTTTGGCGCATGGAGGCACTCTGGTAGAAAAAACGAGACGAGTACAGTGGCACTTAAGAATCGGTCTTGAAGTTTTCGCTCTAGGCCTGCAAGTATAATTTCCAAAGAATGGTCCTCAAACTTATACTTCCTGATCTGCGAAAGTACTTGCCCGTTAAAGGTGAAACTTGGTAGACTCGAAGTCCTGGTTAGGGGCATGAAGTCTAACAGATATTGGGTGAACGCAAGTTGCGTAGACAGATGTAAGAGGGAAGTTTGTATGGGACATGTGGGCGGTGCCTGTCTTTGACCCCAAAAACATTGCGTCAAAAAGCCCCACTCTCGCACCTACGACTATCCAGTCTAGTTATACGTAGTATATAAATTTACGTGTCTATGGGAAGGATCCTTGGGTCCCTGCTCGTATTCGTGGGAAGGCGCCAGTCTGACTCCCCTCTTCCCCTTTGCCAGGATTTCGTTTCCGAATCGTGGATTTGGAAACATATCCTTGTAGAGAGCCCTCTCCCCTGTTCATGCATACAGGGTGTCCCATTAGTCACTGTGCCATTTCAAGATGCAATATTTTCCTAACTACGACAAGTAGGTCCCTATTTTAGCATTGATGGAATTAAACATATTTAGAGGGTTTTTTTTCACAATAATGACTTGATATCAGAATCAAATGGTAATCGCTCGAATGCAAATTTGAAAGGCGTAACTATTATCTCCACCTGGCTGGAGGTCTTTGAGCGACCCTTCAGAGTTCAAAGAGAGTTTAGGTGATTTTTTGGTGCCATGCCTCATGTCAAATGTATTGATGTAGGCGGAGGGCATTTTGAGACACTTTCAAAACTCAGAATTTCTTCCATTTTTGCGAAAAATAATTCCAAATGATATGTTATCATTCGCTAATTGTTGCTTCCTTTTTGTGCCAACTGTTGAGTAGTTGTGATTTTTTTTTAAATGGTATAGATACTTATGAGACACCCTGTATAATAGATTCAAGGTTTGTATGTTCGTGTGTCTGTACGTCCATCAGAGGCCTCCATGGTTCAATTTTTCCGAACCCAACTCTAACGGCCCGATTCGAAGCATTGCCCGAGCTCGACCTAAAACTCGTTCTTTACGCACCCGAGCCGTCGGACCTTTTTGGGCCTATCCGAGCATGCCCGCAGCCCGCACAGACCTCTAAGTATTAGAACTCGAGGTCTGGGATGAATCCCCTGCACCCGACCGGAAATCGCATTGCCAACCGAGTTACTGCCCCATCTTTGGGTCGGGTCGGTCATATTGAGCCGACCCGCATCTCGTATAGAACTCAAGTTAGTCCTTGCTATGCCCATCAGTCCTTGCTATGCCTCATCATAGGCCCATACTCGGCCTTCGAAATTCGAACGCTGTGTTTCACTTGAATGCTATTGGTCGAAACTCTAGGACACTTTGCATACAGGCAATTGGGAATCCCATGATGACGCAACGCATCTCCTATTATTAATCCAAAGCGTGGCCGTTATATAAAGGAATATGGTGTCTCTTTAGACTGTTACGGGACAGAATTCCCTTGAAATGAGTACGGTGTGTCTCGTTTGAATATTATGGACGGAATGAATGGAGAAGCGCCAAACATGTCCTTCATAGGAACTAGGAGATCGAGATACTGTTTCAGAGATTGAAATCTCAAGCAAACTCTAAAAATGAAAATTCTTGAGAGAATATATAAGTTATTCTTCTCAATGAATGAGTCATTCCAGTATGCACGAGTTAGTTCTTGCTCGTTTAGGCCTCAAACGTTACATTATTAAGGAGATATTACCGTACCGTATAGTATCACCGTACTCTCGTACTGACTTGCTGTTTTCGTTGAACAATATCGTTTCACTTCACCGTTCCACCGTCCTTTTGTGCGTTCGGCTTACGGAGTCTGTCTCAAACTTTCATTCTTTGATGATACCTGCAAAGAAATCGGGGTGAAAACGTTTTTCCTAAATAACCAAGCTAAGAACTTCTGTTACTGTAGTCTCCACAGAAGGACTGAAATAGCTCCCCTAGGAGCAATTTCAGTTTTCCTCAGCTTCCTGTGGCCTGGGGCGATCGAGCTGTCACATCCTAAACGATGCTCTCATAATGGAAAGTGGAAGTTTAAGTTCCCACCTAAAGTCCTATCTACTGCAGAGAAAGACTGTATTGTTGCCTAGTGATCTTATTCCATGGCTCTTCGAAGTCAACGGTTCCTGTGGGCCGGATAATATTGGTCATTGTTGCAGACAGATACAAAGGGATACGAATTTTCAAGTTCCCGTCGAAAGGTTCCATGAAGTCCGAGAAATGAGCAAACATTACAACCAAGGCATGCATACTTTTCGCTCATTAGGGGTAAAAGTCCTTTCAGCCTTCACGATGGTTCTTGATTTTGCTACGGCGTTTAGCGATGCTTATACACTGGTTCCTGTAGATGATGGCTCAGGAGAAATATGCTGTATTCCCATAACCATAAGATTCACCCAAACCCCTTGAAAATTATCACTACCGAAGTGCGGAAAGGCAGGATATGCCTCTGTGCAGCACCCTAACTTAATTTTTTTTTCAAGTCATATAAGGTAATTAATAAATGCCTCTGCTTGACGTTGCTACCTGTGCAATTGCATCATGAGTTCTAAGCATATTGGTCAAAACTTCGAAATTCTGAAAGTGGATGCCTAAGGCCCCAGAATGAGATCTTGTAAATTACAGAATTTCCTCGTTACCCCAAATGTCTTC